TGTGAATTGAGTGAAAGTTTACAGGGTAGATCATCAGTGTTACATTCAAGAAATCATATACTTTATTTCACTACAATGATTATAATCCCCTCTATGTACCATCAGTTAACAGTATTTCTCTCTATTCATTTTAGCTCTCTCTTTTTTTCTTTTAACACTCAGGCATATAGAATAATTTACACCGCAGAAGGTCACATTCTGCAAGTCTGCCTCCTGGCAGCCAGCTCTGAGTCCCTCTCCTCCCATGAATCTAGAGTCCTCAGCTGCTCCCTCTCTCTATATCTCCATCTCTGCCTCCATTTCTGGTGTTGCTGCTTCTCTGGATAGGATCTTGCATTCCACTTGTGCTCTTCTCCCTTGATGGTCCTAGGGTCTTCTGTTTCTGGACTGTAAGATTAACTACTCCCCCCCCTTTTTTTCTTCTTCTTCTTTTTAATAAAAGCTTTTATTGTGCATTGAGTGATAGTTTACATGGGAGAACATCAGTTTTGCACTCATCCTATCATATTAGCAGCAAGTCTTTGTTAAAAAAAATCATGAAGAAAGGTACTCCCCCATTTTTGTTACAAAACTTCTACCTTTACAATTGTGACAGTTGCAATTAGTCATGATAACAATTACTCACTATTGAATCACAAGAATCTTTTCCCCATCTCTTTTCACCAGACCCATCTAGACAAGATGAAAACTATTCAGTGGGGTCTCTACCTTCTCCCGCTCACTCTTAAACTAAACTCCCTCTTGAAACCTTGTAAGCCAGTCACTTTATGCCTTTATTTCCCCCTCATTTTAGGTAGCCAATGTCTAAGCTGCACATCCCTATCTACCATGTAGACAGAGGGATCAGCCTTGATACTTGATGTGAAGGCTCCTTCCCTCTCTGTTGGTATTATGAGCTACTACATCCATGACTATAGGTTAAGTTCATCAAATTGGAGCAATTTACCCTCATTTCCTTTATCAAAAATTTTTTTTCTTCTTCTTCTAGTCAAGTTCCGATTATCAAGCCATTAAGGCTAGCTCAATGGGTACTGTCTGCAAGTTTGGGTGTTCTTGTGTGTCTCTTCTCACTTCGTATCAGCTGGATGCTTCAATCTCAGCTCTAGTCCTCCATGGCTATGTCTTTGTCCATGGGCTCAGGTATCCCCAGGTCTCACCACACTTTGGACCAACCAGCCCTTCAGCTTCTCTATCTCATCTCCAGATCAACAGGAGTCTATGGAATGTGGTTGAACTCAGCCCATTTCTTCATTGCTGCCTTTCCCCGTCTTCCATTCACCAAAGATCAATGTGGTCGTCAGCAAGCTTATATGCTTGCTCATGTGATCCATTTGAGTTTCAGTCTTAAGGGGGGTTTGTTTTGAAGGGACTTGATTGCTTGCCTTGATGGCTTTCCAGCGAACAACTTGTTTATTTTTCAGTAGCCAATCATACTGTCATTTTTCTTTTTGTTTTTTTCTGATGATCTTTCTTTGAAGATGTATCTTCTGTTGCTCTAGCTCTTTCAGGTCTGTTTGTCCTTTATAGTGGGAATGTCGCACCTCAGAAGGTTCTGGATGGGGCTCAGTATTCCACCTAAGGTCCTATAACTGTAGAGGCTCCGCAAGAGGCCTATTTCACTGGGCAAGTTTTAGAACCCCTTTTAGGTATATTATCAATATATCTTGATTGCATGTTTGACCAATTTCAGACTGAAGAAACTGGTAAAATTCTTCAATTTCATCATCACTGGCTTTAGTGGTTGGTAAGTGAATTTGAGTAATAATGGTAGTAACTGGTCCTCCTTGCAGGTATGTGAATATTATCTTATCACAGACACCATTGTACTTCAAGACAGATTTTGATATGTTCTTTCTGATGATGAATGAGACGCCATTCCTCAGCAATTTGTCATTCCTAGCACAGTAAACTAAACTATGTGATTGTCTGATTCAAAATGGTCAATATCATTCCATTACAGCTCATTAATGCCTAGGATATCCATCTTAATGTGTTCCACTACATTTTTGACAACTTCCAATTCTCCTAGATTCATACTTAATACAGTCCATGCTCTGATTATTAATGAATGTTTACAGCTGTTTTTCCTTATTTTGAGCTGTGCCCCATCAGTAAGTGACGGTCCTGAAAGCTTTACTCCATTCTCATCATCACTGTCGACTACTTTGACGGTTAACTCTTCCCCAGTCATATTATGAGTGCCTTCCAACCTGAAGGGCTCACCTTCTGGTACTATATCTGACAATTATTTGGTGCTGTTCATCATGTTTCAATAGTCAATATTCTGATGCTATCTGACAGTGTTCCACTGCTATTTAAAAGGTTTTCAATGACGAAATATTTGGAAGTTGTCCATCTGTCCTTCTTTTAAGTCTTAGTTGGAAGGCTCAGCTCAAACCTGTCCACTGTGGGTGACTCTGCTTGTATTTAAAATACCCATGGCATAGTTTCCAGAATCACAGCAACATGCAAGCCACCACACTATGACAAACTGACAGATGAGTAGTGGTTGCAGAGATGAACCCTATAAAATTATCTTATTTTGCTATTTGTTTTTATTTTGGCTGTAATGTGATCAGTTTTAAAAGGTGTCTCAATTTTTGGATATAATCTGCAATTGAAATATATTTTAAAAGGATAAGATATTTCTTTAAATTGTGCTTCATAAGCTCCTCAAGAGAAGGGTACTCAAGAATTTCTTTTCCTTTTCTTTTTATTTGAAAAACACTAAACTAAAGAACTGGTGGGTATACCCAAGAGCTTATTTTTCTAAGGCTCTAAGCAGACTTCTGGGAAATAACTCAACCTCCTAGATCAGATTTGTAACAAACAGTCTAGATCTAGAAAAAACTACCTAAAGTTAGAGAGGAGAGGTAGTCTAGAGAAACACAATGTCACTCACATAGTATATTCTAGTTTCTAGCCCTAGTGTGTCTAAGAAAGAAGGTGGTGATAGGGAAACAGTAAATAACAGATGAAGCTTTTAAGTTTCCTGAAGACATTGAAAATGCCAGCTGTCAGAAGCATGGCTGCCAGCAGATGGAGCATCAGATACTGTGCCAGCAGCCTGACACCCCCAGGTTTGGCACATCAAGTCTCCAGCATTATCAGCAGTGTCAGCTTTATCATAGCACTTGCCATGGCATGAGTTTGTCAGCCACAGAAGATGGCACCTTTGCAACAGCGTCATAGAAATCAGGACACCTGAATGGGAGATGTCCCTACCCGGAGACAGAAAGAAAAGCATGAAGTGATTGCTCAGTGAAAACCAAGAGCACTTATTTAGTGAATGTAGGTGCCCACCCCTGGGACTGGCATTACTGCTAAGGGTGAGTGCAGCATGGTACATAGTTGAAACCCTGCAAAGGTTTTATGCAACAATTAAATGAATATGAAAGACACATCGTTTGTTACTGTCAAAGGGATCTTGCTTTAACCCTAGGCTGGTGTGGCCTGGAGAACATGGGTCAGTACTATACCTCTCAGCAAATCCATCCATACGAAAGAAATCATGGTGCAGCAACTCAGCACAGAAGGGCCTTTTGTCTGGATCACTATGTAAGCATTTCTGAAAGACCAAGAAATACATGTAGTTCACAGAAAAGAAACCTGCCAATAATTTTTAGAAAGTTCCACTTTATAGTTCATGAATTTTAAACTTTTGTAATCAATTATAAAGAAGAAAACATGCACAATAAAATATTATTTAAGAAGAAAAAGAAAGCACAGATTTAGACAATGACAATCAGTTGCTACTAACTTCATATACACATACACACACACACACACACACACACACAAATCAGACATTTAGCACCTCTAAATGGATTGTTGTTGTTGATGTTGCTAAGTGCCATTGAGTCGGTTCCGAGTCATAGTGACCCTAGTGAATTTGAACTGTTGACCTTGTGATTCAAACCGACCTTGCAGTCCAGTCTTTATCCCACAGCACCACCCCAGGACTTATATATATACATATAGATGGATGTTGTTGTTGTTGTTAAGTGCCATCGAGTCGGATCCGACCCATAGTGACCCTGTACAAGGTTTCCGAGGCTGTAAATCTTTACGGGAGCAGAACGCCTCATCTTTCTCCCGCCTAGCGGCTGGTAGTTTCGAACTGCTGGCCTTAAGGTTCGCAGCCTGATTCGTAACCACTACACTACCATATGTAAAGCTTTGAAGTAATCTTGCCAAAAACTAAAACCCGATTCTGATGAAACTCTAGCTTAGCTACGAACTTATTAGAAATGTAGGACACAGAGGAATATGCTAAACTACACCATATGGGAAATTCTATGGAACAAACAACCTAGATTCTTCAACAAATAAATTACAAGTTGACAGCGATGAAGAGGAGATGATAAATTACATGCGTTTTAAGAGCCATATCAACCAACTGTAATTACACACTTCATTTAGATTCTAATTCAAACTGTAAAAACAAATGGAGGCAATGAAACTTTGAAAATTGATTTTATATTTTATGATATTAAGGAATTGTTATACATTTTTGAAATCTCAAGTCCCTGTAGAATGCTAGGGATAGGACCTACTCTGTGATTATATGGTGCTAGATGCTGTAATAGATTTTATTTTAATGCAGAGTCTTTTTCTTATTCACTGAAATCTCTCAATGACAATTAAAATAGGAAGACTCAGTAAACAGCTTTAAATGGAAAAAAAAGTTCTACGGATATTGAAATATTTACGAGTGTGTTTTAAAATACTCCTCCCCAAAATATTGAGGAGTGGTTGTTGTTAAGTGCCGTTGAGTCGGTTCCGACCCATAGCGACCCTGTATGGGTTTTCAAGGAGCAGCTGATAAGCTTGAACCACCGACCTTGCAGTTCAAATGGCTTTGCAGTCTGGTGCATTAACCCACAGCGCCACACCAGAATGGTGGTATGGATAAATTAAATAAAACTGGCACAAGATTGATAATTGCTCAGATGATGGGCCCATGACGGTTCATTATATTACTACTCTGCTTTCTTTTATGTGTTTCATATTTTCAATACTAAAATGAATAAAAAGTTGTATGTTTCTACTGTAACAAATACAAATCACACAGTAGTTTCACCATTATTTCCTTTTTACCTCTTTAGAGGCAGATCATAAAGTTTTAATCATAACAGATGAGTCGGACCCACTTCAATGGCACCTAACAACAACATTAAGATTATGCAGAAAGATTTTTTTGGTGGTAAATGCCATAGAGTTGGTTCTGACTCATGACCACGCTATACAGGGTAACTGAGGGGGGATGGTAGGCTTGAACTGCCAGCCTTGCAGCTAACAGTCCAGTGTTTATATTACATTTTATTTTAACAATTTGCCCTACATTTTAATATTTTCCTGTCTCTACCTTGCTTTCTACTTTGACTTTTCTTCACCTTTTGTTTACACATGTATAGGATAATAAATGTTAAACATTAAAAATATATCATTGTTTTCATGCTTAAACCATGTTCCTGCTATTGTTAGGTGCCATCAAGTTAGTTCTGACACATGTACCTTAAGTACAACAAAACACTGATGGATCCTGTGCCATCATTTGAACCCACTGTTACAGCCACTTCATCAAGTCAATCTCACTGAGGGTCTTCCTCTCTCTCATTGGCCATCTACTTTACCAAGCATAATATCCTTCTCTAGTGACTGGTCCCTCCTGATGACATGTCCAAAGTATATGAAATGAAGTCTCAACATCTTAGGAGCTGTACTTCTTCCAAGACAAATTCTTCAACACCATAAATCAAAGGTATCAATAATTCTTCAGTCTTACTTAGCTTCTGTATGCATATAAGATTTAAAATACCATGGCTTGGGTCAGGTGCACCTCGGTGCTTTTTAACACTTTAAAGATGTCTTCTGCAGCAGATCGGCCCAATGTAATTCACTGTTTGATTTCCTGACTGATGCTCTCCAGGGGTGTTGATTGTGTATCTAAGTAAAATGAAATCCTAGACAATCTTTTCACCCTTTATCACGATGCTGCTTATTGGTCCAGTTGGGAGGATTTTTGTTTTCTTAATGTTAAACCGAAATTCATACTGAAGGCTGCAGTACTTGATCTTCATCAGTAAGTGCTTCAAGCCCATTTTGAAGCAAGTCCTTTTCAGTAAGCAAGGTTGTGTCATCTACACATTGTAAGTTATTAATGAGTTCTCCTACAATCCCGAAGCTGTGTTCTTCATATAGTTCAGTTTCTTAGACTTATTTGCTCAGCATATAAGTTGGATATGGTGAAAGGATACAACCCTAATGCAAACCTTTCCTGATTTTAAACTATGCAGTATTCCCTTGTTCTGTTTGAATGGCTGCTTTTTGGTCTATGCACAGGTTCTGCAAGAGTGCAAATAAGTGTTCTGGAATTCACGGTCTTCATAATGTTATCCTTAATTTATTATGACCCACACAGTTGAATGACTTTGCATAGTCAATGAAATAGTGTTAAACATTTTTCTGGTATTCTCTGCTTTCAGCCAATATCTATCTCATATCAGCAATACTTGTTATTGTTGTTAAGTGCCATCGAGTCGGTTCTGACTCATAGCGACCCTGAACAGGGTTTCCGAGGCTGTAAATCTTTACAGGAGCAGAAAGCCTCATCTTTCTCCCGCGGAGCAGCTGGAAGTTTCGAACTGCTGACTTTGCGGTTCGCAGCCCAATTCGTAACCACTACGCTACCAGAGCTCCTTATCAGTAATACTAGACAGCACTAAATGTTGTCTTACTAAGTTTTAATACAAGTAAACACTTCAGGCCTTTATCTCTAAGCTCTCGCCTCCCCCACAGCACTCAGTATTCACCTGGGTTTGACAGTCAGTGCATTGGCCACACAGAGCTCAGGCAGCACACTCTGACTTCTGGGTTTATTAGAGATGTTAACAGGTTATAATTCAGGGTCAGAAAAGCTCAGGGCACAGTTCTTCCAGTCAGGACAGCGTCTCCTCAGCCATGCACACAGGCAGGCCTCTTTCTGACTGGGCATTGTTTTAGGGCTGCTGATAAATGTTCACAGAGAACACTACTCCACCACAAGCCTCAGCCCCAAGGTGCCCATCTTTACCTTCATAAGTCTGTAAACACAGACCCCTAATTAAATGCATAAAGGTATCCACTCCCCAAACAAGTCTCCTGCACAAAGCACTCAGCTTTACTTGGTCCATGGGTCAGTAGTCAGCCACTGTTTCATGCTCTGGTTCTTGGTTCCACTACGGTTGCTCCTCTTCCACTTCTTCAGGGTCATAGCTTTCTGTCCCTGCACAGCGCTCTCAGGATACAAAGGGCACACCCCATTCCTAAGTCCTCGTCTTCTTTGATGGTGGTGAGAGCCTTCCCTCCAGCTTTTGAGATGGCTCATTTTATACCCATGTTAGAATTCTGAGTTTTTACAATCACAATGAACTCTGTTAACAATCATTTACAACGGAGTCCTATCATTCGGTCAGTGTCTTCTACCACCTTCTCTGACTCAGACCCATCAAGAAAAGGTTGTTTGGTGGGTGTTACAAAGACATGGCTATAAGAGATACAGCAAGTAATTCAATATACTGAATGCCCCTCCCAAATTATTTAAACTCTTTGTTTTCTTCCTTTCCTATATTTTGTTTATTTCATTGTTGTTGTTGAGTAAAACATAGACCAATCCAGAAGTTTCTACAGGTACAATTCAATGACACTGCTTAAATTCTTCAAGGTATGTAACCATTCTCAATCTCCTGTGGTGAGTTTTTCTTCCCTCACTAATATCAACTCACCACCTGCTGAAGTCCTATCTAGCCTTGTGAGTTACTGTTGCCCTTTTGATCTCAGATATGTAGCTCTTAAAAGAGCAGAATGCTCAAGGCCAATGTTTTTTCTACATAAGCAAAATGCTGTTCCATTTTAAGATGACTTCAGGGAATATTTTTAGTTTAAGTTTAAAAATGATCTCAGGACAATAGTTCCAGAGATTCATCGACCATCCAACGCTCCAGAAAATCAGAATCCATGAGAACATGAAATTCTGTTCTGTGTATTTTCCCTTTTGATTAGAATCTTTCTATGGCATCTTAGCTCAAAATGTTCAGTAATGGTACCTGGGCACCAGCCAGTGCTTCCGATCTCATTGCAAAGGAAGTAGTTGTTCCTAGAAGAAATTAGCCACATTTCATGTCCTCCTCCTGTTCCTGACTTTCCTTCTTTTTTTGTTGTTCCAAGTGACTATAGACCAACTGTTATGCTTCAGATGGCTGCTTGCCCACTTTTAAGACCTCAGGCACTGCACAACAAACTAGGAGTGAAAGTAGAAGCACTAAACATATTACTAGGCCTCTTAACTAGAATGTCTCATGCAAACCATGACCCTAAACCTCCAAACCAAATCCCACAAGGTGTTTGGTTGCACTTATGCATTCTGAGCAGCGGCTTTTTCTTTTCTTTTCTTTTTCTCTGGTTGTTGTCATAAATATATTTATCACACAGTTATAGCCAATTCAATTTTTTTTAATGTACAAAAGTTTAAATCTTCACAGGAAATTTCTGACCTTCAAAGATCAACTAAACAAGAAAAAAGAAGGGTTAACCACGTTTCTTTAATGCAAACCCCCTTTCAGGAAGTGAAAAGGAAAAATATGATTACCTTTGCTAAATCAATCACTACTTCAGAAAGCCTGGGATAGCGTTTTTCAAGAGGTTCAGTTTCTTTGATTTCAGGCAACCTTACGCCAGCAAACACAGGATTTTTATAAAATAGTTCCTGATGTCTTGGAATTAAATTACCTGAAAGTGAAAACAGGACGCATCTCTGTTATCATATAACACAAATGAAAAGGTAAAGACACAGGTGGTGGGGAATGGTGGAAATAGTAGAACAGTTGTTGTTATTTAGTGCCATTGAGTTTGTTCTGACTCATAGCAACCCTGATCACAGTTTCCAAGGAGCAGCTGGTGAGTTTAAACCACTGGCCTTGTACTTCAAACCAACCTTGCAGTTAAGCACTTTATCATACAGTATGCTTATGGAATTTGGGGTTTTCTTGGCAAAGAACATCAAAAAGATTGTGCTGCCATTGTAATGGCACATGGACAAAGAAGTCGGTTCAAGAAATTAATATTCCTATCTCGACGTATTCATTTGGAAAAGTTCGCCAAACAAAAAACCCATTGCCATGGAGTTACTTCCAACTTATAGCAAGCCTATAGAAGAGCAGAACTGTACCACAGGGTTTCCAAGGCTATAAACTGTAGCGAAGTCGACCGCCATAGCTTTCTCCCACAAAGTAGCTGATGGGTTCGAACTGCTGACCTTGTGGTTAGCAGCCAAGTACTTAACAAGTACTAGGGCTCTTTTTGGGAAAAGTTCACATGCCATTACAAAATAGAATTGAAGAAGTAAGAGGAGCTTACAGAAAAGACGTAAGTACCAGGATTTCATTCCCAAGAATAAAACAGATTGCTGACCAAAACAATGAAAATATTAATAGTCATATCATCAGGGTCTAATCAAATTTTTGGTCAGCTGATATTGTACCTCTAAGGTCAAATTTAAGCACATTGTCTTTTTTCTCAATTTAATATCTAATTAGATATTTGATTAATTATATATATATAAATTCTAGAAGCTGTGATAGCACAGAGGTGATGAGTTGGGCTGCTAACCTCATGGTCAACATTCGAAACTACCAGCCATTCTGTGGGAGAGAGATGAGGCTGTCTGCTCCCATAAAGATTTACAACCTCAGAAACCCCATACATGGACGTTATGAGTCACAACCTACTCCATGACACACCATCACCACCATATAAATTCTATTTAAAAAAATCATTACTGGTCAGTCATTCAAATTCAAAAGGGCAACATATACCTAAGGACAAGGCATAGGAAGGTGGATGGAATGGAAATAGGACCCACAGGGAGGAAGCAGGATCACTGTTGTTGCATGGAGGGCATGGCAATCACTGAGATGAAACAAAGCATATGATTTGTTGAAAGTAGAACTGATGGTCTTGCCTGTAAGCCTTCATGAAATTTACAATAAAAGGTTAAGAAAAAGAAACTATTACGTTCTTTATTGAATTTCTAATCTGGAAACTTAAAATAAAATACTTTATAATACTTAGTTAAGTTACTCTCAAATGTTTCCCATTATTTCCATATTACAAGATAGTTCTTTCAACATGAAGTTGATATTTAAACAAATGTAATATTATTTGAACAAATGTAATATAACTTTGATAGTGCAGCTTTGAAATTTCATCCAATGCACCCAAAACAAAAGTGAGATCTGAGGCAAGATTAAACTATCTTGGAAACTCTATATATCCTACCTCTTGAAGTAAGGATGAAGGTTAAGTCATATTACACTAAATGCTTATTGACTCAAAGATAATAAATGATCATTTACATTATCTACATGAAATTTAAGGAGCACTGGTAGCATAGGGGTTATGAGTCAGGCTGCTAACCTCAAGATCAGCAGTTCAAAACTACCAATAATTTCATGGAAGAAAGATGAGGCTTTCTGCTTCTATAAGATTTACAGCCTCAGAATCCCTACATTGGGTTGCTATGAGTCAGAACCAACTCCATAAAACATAACCACCACCATCACCACCACATGTGATTTACTCAACGTTAAAGTGTGGAGAATAAACGATCCCTTCCCCTTTCTTTTCTCTTGGGAACACAGAAGGGTAGTGCATGCATGATTAAGACTATGTGCTAGAAAACGAAGACAGTTTACCATGTATACTCTTATATATACACACACACACATAGATATATATAT